CCAGCCAATGAAAGCAGCAGCAGGTCAGGACTGGGAGTAGTGTGGGGCATGAAAGCAGGTATGTGCCACTCTTCTGTCCAGATCTCTCACCGTCCAGCCTGCTCCTGTACTCCCGTTCTTATCCCCCTCCCTGACAGATTGGTCCCGCACACTGAACCCCTAGGGGGCCACAATTCACTAACCCTGGAACCCCAGAAAAGTTAATCTGGCGTGAGGCCTTCAACCTCAATCTTCCCTGCCCCTCCCCCACCATGGCACTGGAACACCAAGGAAGTGAGGTGTTGCAGTTTGGGGCCACATCAGTGAAGCTTGGGGGTTTTTGGAGGGTGGGTAGGGTTTTTTTTGTTTTGCTTCTCATTTGTGTGGTCTCTGACTGATTTTTTTTTTTTTTTTTTTTTTTTTTTTTTTTTTTTTTTTTTAATTTTTTTTTTTTTCTCTCTGTGGGTCAGTGGCTCCCAACCCAAAAAAGGTTTGCCACACCCTCCCATAAATAAAGACTGTGTTGAAACCTTTTGTTTGGACATGATACTTTTATTTAACATGAAGCCTGTCCCCAACCTCCATCTGGCCGCAGTTTCTTGTCCCTGGCCCCGATCCTGAGGTAGGCCCCATGGTCTGGTCCCTGTCTGGCTGCAGGAAGGGCAGGTGGCAGCCGCCTTACTGCTGCAGCACACGTTGGAGGGGAGGCCATGATCTTGTTGGCCAGGGGGTGCTGCATGGGGACCGCGGCGCCCAAACGGCTGCTTGCGCCGCTTGCTCCCCTGCGGCAGCCCAGATGAGCAGCAGAGAAGTCAGCCAAGAGCCACCGCATGAGGTGAAGGTCATGACTCAGGCAACAGCGCCGCCCAGAGGGAACAGCCAGCATTTCAGCGTTAGTCTCAGACATTGGGCTACTACATATATATATATAATGTGGGAAGCACTCTAACTAAAATTAAGTGATTTTTTTCAGGGGAGTTAGCTTGAGTAGTTTAGTGTTTAAATGTATGAATATGTTGAGTGCCTGTTTTAGGCTGAAGAAATGTATTTTGCATTTAGTTCTGAAAGTGACAGTTCTCACTTTTCTCAAGTGTGAATTCCTTGGCTAGGTCTGAGATTTGTTTTGTTTTTTTTGTGTGCAACTTTTCTCCACAAACTCTCAGGATTCCCCTCACTAAACAATTTAATTATCCTCATTGAATTTAGCTCTTGCAGAAGTCAGTAGCCCTGGAGAAGGTGATTGCTGAAAGCTAGAACCAGTCCCATGGAAGTTTTCAACTATCAGTAACTTTCGAATGAATTCTGTGTTCAGTGGACAAGCTAGTGTGGAGAACATTAGGGTGGATTTGAATTAAATCCAATAGATTTAAATGATGATTCAAATCACTAGTCGGGAATATTCTATTTAATAATGGTTTTCTACCTAAAGTGCATTCCTGTTGGATATCACTTTCTTAATATATATTCACAACTCAGTGTAGGTTTCATTTTTAGTAGGTATACACTAGACATTTTTAAACAGATTTATTTTGCATACCCTTTAGATTTTGTTTTAAAGCGATATCAGAAAATGAATTATTGTTTGGGTATTTCAGTTACCAAAGGTAATTGAAGGCATTTATGAAGTGATTGGGAGGTGAATGATCTCCAATTGAACAGGTTAATCAATATTTGGAGGATTTTAACTAAAATAATTAAATTAAATTTTTAAAATAAAAATTAAATTTACTGTCAGCCAGGTAACATGAGAAACTTAAAATATTGGCTTTTATTTATTGAACTTTTTGAAAGTTTGCACTTTTATAGAGGTAAGGGATTGACTCCATATACAAATTTGCAGCAGGACAATAGGGTTGAGGTCTGTTAATTCTCACTTCTTTATTTTAAAAACATTTAAGCATGTTGGCTCTGGAGACAAAAATCCAGTTTAAGAACTGCAAAACTAAGCATCTCTGATATCTTTTAGACTGAGCACTGAGTCTGAGTAGATAGATAAAAAGATTTAATCTAAATAATCTATACAGAAGCCTCTAAATCTATGCAGATCCCCATAAGATTCGGTCCCTAATCATGAATGATTGGAACTCATTTACAAAACTTTTCTTAAACATTACATGAATTAGAATTTATAATCCCTATTCCGTGAGAGATCTTTTGAACTGTGATTTTATCTTAATTAAAACTATCTTTACATTGGTTTTTTTTCCTCAAAGCATTTTACCAAAAAATCCAAATTAAATGATCAGATTTTTGTTTTATTTTGAAAATCATTGATTTTTTTATCCACACTTTTTGTTCTATTTGCATGTGCCTTCACTCCTATTTGTCTCCAGCTGACTGACACAAGCATTGCTGTTAATGTAATCCAGTAATAACATTTCCCGGAATGCCATTGAACTATTGTTGATATATATAATTTATCCAATTGTATGAAAAAGATGCTCTACTACATAACTGTTAAATACTTGTCCGATTTTGTTTGTTTTCATAAAACGTTTAATTGGTCAGACTTTCATGGAAGCTTTCTCATAGCTGGTGGGTGAGAATAGTTTTATTGGACAAGCTTCTGTTAGTGTGAGAAGCTTTCAGACTGCAGAGAGCTCTTCTTCAGGTCTCTGAAAGATAATCTGTCTCAGCTAAATATCAGCTAACATGCATCTGAGGGAACATTTCGAGGTGAAGTTAACCCATTGACGTCTCTGCCATCCATAGGGCCAAAAAGGGGTTCAGTGGGCTAAGGATTGGAGTAATAAGCCATAAGTCCAGGATCTTTATTAAGATAACGATTTTTAATGACAATCAAAATTATGAGTTTAAGCTCCCCAATTTGTCTTTTGATGGCTACAGCAATGCTGAAGATGTGGAAATTTTCTATCATTTTTACAAATACATTATGGAACATGGGTGATGAAACTAGATGCAATACATCACTGTCCTCAGTTTTCTTATGAACTATTTTACAGTGCTCGCCAGAAGCCCAAGACTAGTTACCAGGATGAGCGAAAGAGTGGTTCAAAGCTGATAGTTTTTGTAATTGGAGGCATCACGTACTCAGAGATACGCAGTGCTTATGAAGTTTCTCAAGCCTACAAATCTTGTGAAGTGATCATTGGTAAGTCTGTCTAGAGAAGAGGAAGTACTAGATGAAATGAGGTGCTTCATCTGAGCATTAGGGTGTGTTAATTTTTAAGTGCATTTTTGAAAAACATTTTCCTGTATCCTCTAAGTCATCTAGAAAAAAGCATAATATGGTTACTATTCTCTTTTGAAACATCTAGTATCCCTAGATGTGCATTGGTCCTTCATGGCTATTGCCCTTAGTTCCTTCTGAAAAGACATGTTCTCACAGTTACCTTGAAAATCTTCAAAGGAAAAAGTGGTAACCAATGTAAGACAATTCAGACCTCAGTCTTGCTACTGTAGTGTTGCATCCTAATTGCTAAAATACTAAATCAGAGAGAGTTATGAGACGCAGGAGTCATGAAGCTGAATCGCTAGCTGTACATATTAGTGAATCTCCTGACAACTGTTTAATTTCAACTGTGCATTGAGTTGCACCTAGCCCACTGCTGAATGTATTGCAGTTGCTATTACCAGTTGAAATCGGAATACAGGCAGTCCCCAGGTTACGTACAAGATAGGGACTGTAGGTTTGTTCTTAAGTTGAATCTGTATGTAAGTCGGAACTGGCGTCAGCCGCTGCTGAAACTGATCAGTTTCAACAGCGGCTGAATCTGGACGCCAGTTCTGACTTACATACGGATTCAACTTAAGAAACCCAGGCGTCCACATACGGATTCAACTTAAGAAACCCAGGCGTCCACATACGGATTCAACTTAAGAAACCCAGGCGTCCACATACGGATTCAACTTAAGAAACCCAGGCGTCCACATACGGATTCAACTTAAGAAACCCAGGCGTCCACATACGGATTCAACTTAAGAAACCCAGGCGTCCACATACGGATTCAACTTAAGAAACCCAGGCGTCCACATACGGATTCAACTTAAGAAACCCAGGCGTCCACATACGGATTCAACTTAAGAAACCCAGGCGTCCACATACGGATTCAACTTAAGAAACCCAGGCGTCCACATACGGATTCAACTTAAGAAACCCAGGCGTCCACATACGGATTCAACTTAAGAAACCCAGGCGTCCACATACGGATTCAACTTAAGAAACCCAGGCGTCCACATACGGATTCAACTTAAGAAACCCAGGCGTCCCCAAGTCAGCTTCTGCTGAAACTGATCAGCGGCTGATTCCAGGAAGCCCGGGGCAGAGCTACTCTGCCTCGGGCTTCCCGTAGTCAGCCGCTGGTCAATTTCAGCAGCGGCTGGATCTGGACGCCAGTTCCGACTTACATACAGATTCAACTTAAGAACAAACCTACAGTCCCTCTCTTGTACGTAACCCGGGGACTGCCTGTAATAAGAGGGAGTTTTTATGTATATAAGGAACAAAAAGCATCCTACAAAAGGGAGACGGGGAGCAAAGCCGTGGGACAGCCGCGGCCTCCCCAGCAGACCAGGGAGATGTGGAGCAGCTTTTCTCGCCCCGGAGGAAGGGGGCGGCGGGACTGCAGCGCATCTGGGCGTCCCGCTGCTCCAGTCCTCCGGGGCGAGAAAAGCCCCGTTAGGCGTCCTGATTCAGCCCGGACGTAAGTCGGATCCGCGTAACTCGGGGACTGCCTGTACACAAACCAGAGTAGTGCCAAAATATTACTGACTTCAAAAGCTTATCTGCAGTGATAACGGAAATGGCAATAGTTCGGCCCAGAATTTTTGGTAGCATTCTTCTAGTTCTAGTTAAGGGTCAGTCATTTAATTCTGATATCCATGTGAAGGACTGCTTAAAACACTAGAAACTGTAGTGTGCCCTGGTTGTTTCAAGATGCATACCAAGATTTGATCTTATCAGTGTAGATGCTGCAGGAATTCTTGGAGGTAGCAACAGCAGCTGGTGGAAAGGCTCTGTCTAAATAGCAGCTAAAAATCTTTTAGTATGTGTCAGAGGAATAAAACATCATAGATTTAAAAATAAGTCTGATGTCCAGAGCTGAATGAGCTGTTGCAGAGAGAGAGGGCATATAAAGGTAGCTATTATTGCCCAGACACCACAAGAGGAAAGACAGGACACCAGAGGAATGTGGTTTAACAAGGCTTCAACTTTAAATAACACACCAGGGAAGCCACCCAGCAACAATTCATCCAGTGTTCATCCTCTGTCCTTTCTACTCTATTCCACCTGGAAAAGAGCTGCAGTTAATCCTCTCATTCGATTAACCTGTCCCTAGCATAGCTTCTAGGACCCATCACCTCACATGAGTTAATGGAATGGGTAAAAAGAGATAGGGAATGGGGCAGGGATTCTGCTACTTCCTTTAGAAGCTCTCCTGATTTATCAGAGCAATTTGAACAATAATCTACACTGGGCACCTGCCACATTGTGGGGAAAAAAATGCATTTCCCAACTGAACTGACCTGTTGGACCCTTTGGGCTACTGAGACGAGGGCATAAAACCCCACTCCTCACGGTCCAGGCCATTCCTTCCTAGCCCTTAGACTGCTACTGTGGTGCTTACAGTGCAGCCCTGAACTCTGGTCCTCCTCTAATCCCAAATGTGGGAAAGAGAGAGGGATCTTTTCCTCCTGGGCTGTCTACACTGGCACCCTTTTCCGTAAAAGAGATGCTAATGAGACACTTCGGAATTGCAAATTCCATGGGGGATTTAAATATAGGCAGTCCCCAAGTTACGCGGATCCGACTTATGTCGGATCTGCAGTTACGAACAGGGTTTGCTGTCCGTCTCCCTGGTCTGCTGAGACGGGGAGCAAAGCCTCTGAGGACGCTGGCAGCAGGACGGCCGCGGCGCGTCTGGGCTGTCCGCTGCCCGCGTGCTCCCCGGCTTTGCTCCCC